GGTTCAAATTTTTAATCAAGGATTTAGCTTTCTGCCTGAATCAAACTTAAAATGTTTATTTGTGTCCGACGCAATGTATTGACTGTAGGTTAACGCGTGTTCTTATGAATCTGGGTTCACAAAGATATTACAATTACTGGAAATGCGTTCTTATAATAAGCATTAAATAATGCCAAAATGGGGCATTTTCAATGCCTCACTGCTCCTTAATGAACATGGGCACCCCCCTTTTTTTATTTCAAAATTGAAGTTATCATATGACAAATATTCAGTGGACAAAATTTGAACAAAAATCTATTGTCACTTTTATTTCAGAGGAATTACCTTAAGGATGCGCTGTTTGACCATAAACTATGTTTTCTCAAGAAATATTTATTACAAGCGTTGGCGTTCTGAAATTGAACTTTCAGTTTCGAAAAAAAGTTTGAAGAAATGCTTTTCCTGGAAGTTTATAGTTTCTTACAAGTTTATTTTACAAGTTTTTAATCTATTCATCGCTAGTTGAACTTCACGTGCAAATCGTTATCTGTTATTCGGGCAAATTAAAGAAAACATGCAAAGTCCGCGCGTGAAGTTTTGAGCCTCACTACTCTAATAAAAGCTCTCGGATTTTTCTTCGCTTTCACAAATGAAAAAGGTTACCGACTTAATGAGCATGAAAGTAGATAATTTCAACAGCCAATATGTGTAAAGAAACTGAACAATCGATCGCGAATTGTGAGCGCACAGCCACTGCTTTAATCTCTGATTACTACACCAATGAATAGCCTCAGTTTGGTGGATATGTCATTATTTGATGAAAAGACCATACAATGACTTTAAAATTTACGTCATAATAACATCACTGACATTTTTTGATGTAACCTCACTCGTGGTCACTCGTGAGTACTTTTAGACCCTATCTTTGCGAAGATCTGTCAGACTTGACGTGGATGGTACGTATTCGATTTAATTTTACTCAGAAGACGCCATCTTTTAGAGGGTAAATATTCGGTGGCTCTATTACCCGCTGGATTCAGCGAAAGCTTTTAAAATCTTTCAGCTGTTGTTTTAATCATCGATCGTGCGCGAAGATCAAACAGGAATCAGGGAAGGGGAACCAATCTTATTTGGCAGCCCCGCTAAGCTTTACTGAGTCGTTGTTCGTGTCCAGATAACGAAAGACCGAATTTTAGAAGCCGGCGACTGGTTGTTGTTTTCCCTGCAAACGCGAATTTACTCGCGGTGGCAATTTTGAAACAAAGGCTTCCGATTTCCGGGCGGTTCTGTAATTCAATGTTTAAATATTTTTTTTAGCAGCAATTCAAGAGAATGAAACAGACCGTCAAGCTAATGAACGGTTAGAGTTAAATCACAGGAAAAGCTGGTCTTAAGACGAACATTTCGCTTATTGCCCTCCAAACGAGTATGTAGATACATGTAGTACCATTGTGAAGTATATATGAAATAATTCATATTTGAACTGCGGTAGTAGATGAAAGTGAAGTATGATCATC